ACATTCGGCTTGCCATAATAAATTACATTTACATCTGAACTTTTCATGTAGTAATCAATGCGTCAATGCCAACGTCTGCACACTACAAGAGTGTAAAGAACATACCATATATCCATGAAAAAGTTCACTAACAAAATTGTACATATTAGTGCAAAGTTAGGTAGGTCTACGGTCTACTGAACTTACCAATTTGTGCAAATTTTTCAAATTTTTTCACGGATATAATTTGGGTATGCACTGTACTGCTATAAGTAAACATCTGCCACTACCATTCAGTAACTACCTCTACTACAACCAATTTTAATGTTGCTAACACAATCAAACACTTGTATAAAGTCAAAACGTAAAAAATATAATATATAAACACCAAAAAAGTTTCAATCCTCAAGAGAAAAAAATTCTTGTTATTGACAAATATTCTTTTGTTTTTCTACTACTTGGACTTTTTTGCGATACTTTTTAAGCTATTTAAAATAATTTTTAAATGGTCAACTGACGTTTCACGTTGAACGTAAATCTAAAACTCTCTGGTGTCTATACCACTGCCTCTAACCTCTACCGACTAGTACTACTACTAGAGTGCAAACAATTAATCCGTGAAACACTAATTACTAAATAGTACAAAATAGTATTAATTAAACAATAGAAAGCAATGGAATTTGCATGAAATTGTGCTATTTAGTATTACTAAAGTTTCACGGTTATATTGTTTGCACTCTACTACCACTATCACACCACTATTACTGACACTAAGAACAAATCACTATGAGGCATAACAAATAAGTAAACACCGAGGTTAAGCAGATAAACAGGTTCTTTTCATTTATTGGTTCAAAATTCTCGGCATTAAAATGTGTGTGTGAACATAAAGGATGATTTTTTCTCCAAATTTAAACTTGAATATATTTTACTCAATTTAATAGCTAATTGACACTTTATTGGCTTCAAACAATTGTTACATTTGGGTCATTTTCTATACATTTCATTGTATTGACCCAAATGCCTCAACTTGATACAACATTGTTTGAAGGAAATAGAGAGTCACTCTGATATCTGCCATTGGAGGTTAATTATTTGTATATTTGTAAATGAGTGAGTGGGGGAAAATGTGAAGCAAAAATGTAAGCAGATTCGTTAAGTGAACTGAAGGCATTATAAAATTATTAAGTATTAGTTTTTAAATGGAAGCAACAGTTCCAAGATCAACAAGTATTTCATCTTATTCATCCCATTTCCAAATAATGAGAAAATCTTGAAAAATGCACTATAGAGTCCCGAGAGGAATTGTTTTGGGGGACAAAACAACGGATGTTTTTTTTTTTGGCATAGGAAAAGACGGCCTAATGTTTTGTACCCCAGAACAATCTGCAAAGATTCTATTAGGTAATCTGAAGAAAAAAACTGGGTTGAGTTAGCATAGAAGTGTATTTTGGACTTTATGTCACCTCTCTGGACTGTTTAGTAAACATATTTCCAAGATGGCGTTTATTTCGCTCTCTAAAACAGTCCTAAAATTCATTGTAATGCCAACTGGACCTAGTTTAATTTTCCTATTTAGAATGGATTATGCTGAGAGAGCGTAGCGAATATTGGTACTGACATTCCATAGAAATTCCAATAACACTAATAACACAAATTAACACTTGCAAAAATTGTGAATATATACAATCAGCTAGAAATTATTGAATTCCAAAATTGATATATGCAATATGAGTTCTCCATAATAGATATTTTTGGATGATATTTATCATAATTTTAACCACCATTCTCGGGTGCAGATATTGCGGTCACGCTATCTCCTTCACGTGACCAATACTTTGACTTTGAAAAATACTAATATAAGGAAAACATTTCTATTTTCTAAGTTTTACTTTGGAACATGAATGACTTACGTATGAGTAGTATATGTTATGTCTTTGGCAGCCATCCGTTGGTAATTTTAAGTATTTTTTGTATATGTAGTGGATTTTGGATTCCTAGACTTTGCAAAGCATCAGCATTCAGAGACGATAACAAAGACCCGTCAATTGTTTCCCTTTTAAATATCTCGACATACATGTCCAAGTGACAAAATCTTAAGACCTCACCAACATCTCGTATAGACCACGATTGAATGTTATGGGGATATTCAATATTGAGTTTCCCTTTTGGATTTTCATTGGGTTTGAGCTTCAGTTTTTCAATCATTTCTAGATTTAGTCGATCAGCAGTGGCGTTTACTGGCGTTACCTCACGATACTCAGCCGAGCTCCCTACAATATCACTACCAGACGAAGGCAACCTTTTCGAAACATTTAGATCTGATACACTTCGCCTCAATTTCTTGACTTCGCTTCCGACTTTTGAGGGCACTTTTTTCAACGGAGAAAAAAAGTTGCCAAACTTTTTGCCGCTATCCTTGAAGCGGTTTCGAGACTCGCTCCCGAAAGCTGACGGGCTCTTAGCGGTGCTATGAGAGCCCTCTGCTTCATTATCATCAAAACTCGGAGGAAGTTTCTCCGGATTCAGACTAATACTTCTTGACCTACCACTTTCTTTAACTGAAAGGTATTCCTCAAATACATTGTCATTCATCTCTTTCGGTGGTCTCGGTAGGCCTTTAGGAGGAACACTAGGAGCGCTTATAGAACGTGGCTTTGGAACTGGAGCTTGTTCGCGTTGCCCTGGTGTATAATTCCTTGGAGGTAATCGTGGTCCAACCTCACTGTAATTCGAAGGTGATTCATATTCCTCTGGTTCTTCTATATCTTCCATTATAACTTTACACGGACCATGCCTGATAAACCTTAAAACCAGCTGATCACTTTTGGTCTTGTCTTGAGCTATTTTGCACAGTTTGGCATAATTCTTATCACCTTGAATTGCTCCAAGTGCTGCGACAACTCGAACTTGCAGATCGGTCGGTAGTGGTAGAACCGAGTGGGCCTTTTGGTCTTCCCAAGTCGTTGTGAAAACAACTTTGTAGTGATTGACTGAATGAAGCTTAACTGGGCCTAAGATACCGAAACCAGAGGGACGATTTATGTCATAACCATCCTGTAACAGTTTTAGCTTGTTATCCATGAATTTCACTGAACACGGAAGCTTCCAGTATTTAATAACATCTTTAAGAGTTGGAGACGTAGTTGGACAATCTCCAAGCACCTTAAAACGTCCTTTAAAACTAAGTGGCAGCTCTACAGTTCGACCTGTTTCTAGCACTTGGCAAACGAGGAACCTCTCTCGGAATTTTTGTTTTGTTTTTATTAACTCAAGGACTTCATTAGCAGCGATGTTCAAAAATGGTAGATTCTGGTCGGATGCGGCAAATTTAGGAAATCCAATAGCCAGGGCTTCTACAGTGTCATAATATGCTGGTCCATCGCTTTTGTTGAGGATTTGGACTCTAGAATTCGAGTCTGCCGGTAATAAAACTTCCAGTGACCCTTCAGTTGCTTTCACAGTAGCTAATTCTTTAATACTATGTAGTGTTAGGAGTTGTGACGAACTTAGAGTTCTGTCTTCTTCGAATTCATCATGATAGCCTTCTTCTACTTTGACTATTTGAGGAAGTGGAAATTTCTCTAAAAAGTCCTTGAGAAAAAACTCTTCTCCGCTCCAAACTATGGAGTCTTCTCGGATATTCATCCCAGGACAGTTCGAATTGAAGCTATTATAGATTCATTTTAAGCGTTGATCTTGAAGACAAATATAATTTGGGCGAGATCAGTGAAGCGCAAGGAAGCGTATCACATACACTACGCGTTCAATAAATGATCAGAGGTCGTGCCCAGATTGTTTTCAAATGCATAAATAATTAACCCAGAATATCTTATACTCGAGGTCATTATGGTTTGGCTAACCTCTGGTGAATAATCAGATTCACATAATGGGAAAAGAAAAAAGGAGCGAAAAGGAAGTGGAACGAAGATACACACGAAAATGAAACATTGAATTTAACAGTTAGACTTTTCGAAACATGCACAAACATAGTTCACCATGTTTTTATATTTTGTCTAACAAAGCTTCATTGAATTAAATAAGTACAGCATCAGCGTAGAGCAGTTTTCGCATGACTGTGGGAAGCTCACGGCACGAACACGGTTATGACACCGCAAGGGATACGCCAGACCAATCACAATAGAGAGTTTTAGATTTACGTTCACGGCAAACGTGAAGCGTCAGTTGACCAGTGAAAAATTGTTTTAAATAGCTGAGAAAGAATCGCAAAAAAGTTCAAGTAATAGAAAAACAAAACAATATTTGTCTTTGGTGAGAAGGTTTGCAAGAGGTAAAGTGAAATACAGGAAAACGATGAAAACGTGGTCACGTTTGCCGTTTGCGGGGAGAAAAAAAGTCAATCTAAAACTCTCTAATGTACGAGAATTTACTCTTCATCCAATCAAATGTCCGAATCACGGCTGATAACACAACACGGTCACGCCAATGTCACGGTCCGACCAATCTGTGAAAATGTGTTTCATTGGTGACTTCAAAACGAGCGATAAGAATACTGGAAATACTAAAATAACTTTTAATATCTATAAAAGATGAAAAATATTTTAAATATAAAGCTTGAACCATTAAAATGAAGATTTCTTTGAAATGATGAGAGTATGTGGACCGCGTGGCACTAATGAAATAGTAGAAGATAATATAGGTAAGTTGTAGTGCTTGGGAACGAGGTTATTCC